TTTATTTTACAGTTAAAATAAATGTTTATGAATTAAAGTCTAATGTTACAACTAACCTGGGATGCCTTTAAGGAAGTGAAACACAGGATGTGAAGCATCATGGAATACAGAGGCCATCGTTTTGTGTTTTGACATGACTTTTTGTTTCTTTGTCCGGCGCATTCCAGCTGTTTGTCGAGTAATCACAGCAGTCCTGTTTTTGTTTCATTCAAAGACTTTTTAGGTCTAAAAACTCCACAAACTAATGTCCGTTATTACTGTGCCGTCTTTCTGATTCGATCGCTGCTCGGTGGTTTCTAGTTGTGTTTGACCACTTGAATATGTGTTAACCTCAGGTTGTTTTTGTTCCAGTGTTGAATTTTATTTATTTATTTTTTTTTATCATTTCGTCATTGTGCTTGCCTTTATGCATCCCCCTCAACAATTGAAAGAATACTAAAACGTCTCCCCCTTTAGGAGAGAAATGACACTATAAGATGTCAGATTGTGGTTAAAACAGCAAAGCAGGAGGTAAAAACAGTTCAGAAGTGGGAACGTACACATACATTATGCTAACATGAGAGCAAATAATTAGATTGTTTGTTTTGCAATAGAGATCCAGTTTACTGTAACAAACTCAACCATAAAAAAACAACCAAGTTTGCGAGTTCAGAACATGCCATAAATATGTTTGCAAGTACAACTTTGACTTTCTACAAAGCTTTATGGAAAATTTGTATTTTTAAAGCAGAATGTTTCAGAATGAGCTCCTGTTGTCTGTAATTTAATTAGCCTTGATTAGTAAATCTGCCTTCATCTCTTTTGCTAAAAAAAAAGAAAAAGGAAAACTATCATTTTGATAGACGTGGTTTAATTTTTTTAATATGCTGCTGAATAAAAAAATACTTTTGGGGCCACCAAATATTTTGGATCATGCAAAGACTATATTGTAATGTAGTAATTTTTGTAATATTTGTAAGATGACATAGTGGGTGTGACTGAGTACCATTGCTTCAATCTGTACATTGTTCCAATAAATTGTTTACATTAATATGGACCTCTGTCTGGTTTCTTTTTGTGTTTTATAAATTATTTACTTAACACTTCCTCTTTTTTCTGTTAATATTTCTGCAAACCTTAAGGCAATCCCAGTCCACTTTTAGGAACAACAAAGCTTCATCGAGTCGTCACTTTTGCACAACCATTTAAAGTTTGTAGGTCATGTTCTTTCACGATGTAGCAGGTGGTGGGAGTCCAGTTCTGTGGCCTTGTTGGAGTCATTGTGCCATAATCTTCACCTTAGTGATCATAATTTGGTATCCTGGTATTTTTTTTAAATTTGTTTATTGGGGAAATACAAGATTTAGTGAACAGTTAAAATCATAAGTTATTCCCATATTTTCTTTTTGTTTTATACAGACATTAAACCACAAGTTTTCAAATAAATACATACATGTACACATAAAAAAATTAAAACTAAAAAGAGAAAAAATAATATAAAACAAAATAATGGGGGCGGTGAACTATTAATCAGATGGGAAGTTCTATAATGACTTACAACAGTTCAGAAAACAGCCCCATATTTGATCAAATTTTCCATAGTTGCCTTTTTTGTAAAACCTATCTTTTCCAATTTAAGAAATGACATAACATCCCGAAACCACAAAGAAATCGAAGGTGTTTTAGAGCAGTGGTTCCCAAACTTTTTGTCTTCTGACCCACAAAATATCCATGGCAAAAACTTGTGACCCCAAATATTACTGGTCTGAGTACAAAAACTTTGTTAATAACCCTAAAAACACAGGCTTTTTAGAGATAGAGATAAATCTTTATTGTCATTGTCACAAGAACAACGAAATTTAAAAGGTGCCATCAGAC